ATACCTGTTTTTAGGGCTCTTTCACATGGACATTCAAATTGGGTCCGCCTGTCTGTTTTTTAAGGCAGACCCCATCGGAACCTCCATTATCTTCTATGGAGCGGCGGGTTTAAACAGACAATTGTCTGTGTACACCCGCCGACGTCCGATCCGCCAAAAAAGGATGGATGGCGATCCAATACCCCTTCCATCCATCAGATAGGGTCGGATGAAAATGGACAGGCGGTCCATTTTCATTGGACCGCCCATTGAGAGTGAGCAGATCTGTGTCTGTTCTGCAGAAGCGGAGCGGATACAGAGCTGTCATTCGCTTGCTCAGCAGGGATCAGCGGAGAGATCCCCCACTGAGCAAGCGGATCCACTAAACGGGTCCACCCCATGTGAAAGAACCCTTACTGCCCTTAGCCATCCATCTAAAAGAGACCTAAGTGATTAAATCAGCTGCTGAAAGTCTTTAAAACTGAGGATTCATTATTATAGGTTATATGAAGATAAAATAATTTGCAAATCATTTGTAGTCTAAAATGTTTAATTTTTATCCAACATCTATTTTCGTTGTCAGTTTATCATTTTTTTAGGTCCTGCCAACAGTAAATTGCTCTTTACCTTTCAGCGATTAGCCACTGTGAACTACAGTTGACCTTTTAGATATCTGGGAAAACCCCACCATAAAGTTTTCATCAGGACTAGTGGCTTCAGTTAATTTCTTGATCTGCCCGATTCTAAACACAAAGGGCAAACTAATGCATTCGTGCCAAGAACTGTACTGAATCAGTCTTAAATAATTTGTTACAATGCATGACTGCATTGACAGTTGGTGCTGCAGAGGGCTGTAGTGAACAGCAAATGTATTTGGTGCCCCCAGGTGGTAATTTTATATCATAGCACATATATTTGAAAGAGTTACATCTTAGAGGGAGAATATAGTATATTTTCTAGTATAACTGAATTGATACTACATGTTTTTGTTACTGTATAAAAATATACAGCAAAGTGGCTAAATGGTTAGCACTTCCGTCTGGCACCACCTGCCTGCAGTTTGCATGTTCTCCCTGTGCCTGTGTGGGTTTCCTCTTGGTACTCTGGTTTCCTCCCACACACCAAAGACATGCTGGTAGGTGAACTGGCTCCTGTCTAAATTGGCCCTAGTATGTGCATGTATGAATATGAGTTGGGACCTTAGATTGTACACCACTTGAGGGTTAGGGACTAATACGAATATACAATATATATGTAAAGTGCTGCATAAACTGATGGTGCTATTTAAGTAGCTGTAATAAATAAAAAATACAAATTTGTAGATTATCTCCTAGAGTAAATATGGAATCCTTTTTTTTCAAATATCAACTGTGTGCAGGATCGCAAAGTTGGTGATAGAGCCTAGTTTGTAACAAGCAGGGGCGGACTGACCATTTGGAAACTTGGGCACTGCCCGAGGGCCCGGGGTCAGTAGGGGGCCCCATGAGATGCCCCTGGTACCTTTTTCATAGGCTTTTTTGAGTTTGGGCAAGGACACAGCGGCCCCATGATCCCCTATTGCCCGGGGGCCCCATGAGTTGTCAGTCCGCCCCTGGTAACAAGCATATACAGCAGTGTCCATAATGTATAATTACAATTATACATAATGAAAGATTACACATCAAAATTACAAATGATACATAGAAGATAGATTTTCAAAACTTAACACACATTGACAAGCATCATAGATCAAGCTTTCTCTTTCACATGCAAAAAAAAATCTGTGAAAAGATTATACATTCTAACCCAGAAAAAAGAAAGAACTGAAAACTGAAACAACATCAAATGACCAAAGTTCATTTATCCAACTTCCTTCTTAGGGTGAACTTTCACTGGCACTTATAACTGATGCCAAGAGAAGTTCACCCCCTTGGACCCATTCCATGTGTAGTGTGAGTGATCAAACAGTGCCCAGGATCAGTTAAGTGTACCATGCCTGGGAGCACTTAGAAGAGGTAGTCCCTGGACATGGTTCACTTGTGGTCTGGTACGGTTTGCTTCAATGTGAGGATAAGCTCACCTTTTGTAACATGTACCATGTTACGATCAGAATGGCCCCCGATCCCCACTTTGATAGCTAGTGGGGTATCTTCTCTCCCTTCGCTAGCTCTCAAATTTTTTAAAATGTGGGGGTCCACCCACACGGCTGTGTCCCTCATTCACAGTCATCTGTGAATGAGTGACTACAAGTCCCGACAGCCTTAGTGGCTGTCATCTTATAGTCTTCAATGAACTACCACAGCACTGTGAAGCACTGTGGTAGTTCATTGATTCTCCCTGTCAGTATATCAGGTTGCTCCTACATCCAGTATGAGCAAGCAGATATACTAACAGATCTGCAAGAGGCCTGCATGGCACCAGGGATCTTCTTATTGCTGGTGCTATGGTTTACAGGCTCCTGCAACCAATTTATTTATTTTGTTTGGTGGAGGAGAGATTATGGTGTGGGGTTATTTTTCAGGGGTTGAGCTTGGCCCCTTAGTTAAAGTGAAGGGAACTCTTAATGTGTCAGCATACCAAGAAATTTTGGACAATTTCATGCTCCCAACTTTGTGGGAACAGTTTGGAGATGGCTACTTCCTGCATGACTGTGCACCAGTGCATAAAGCAAGGTCCATAAAGACATGGGATGAGCGAATTTGGGGTGGAGGAACTTGACTGGTCCTGACCTCAACCCGATAGAGCACCTTTGGGATGAATTAGAGCGGAGACTGCAAGCCAGGCCTTCTCATCCGACATCAGTGCCTGACCTCACAAATGCACTTCTGGAAGAATGGTCAAACATTCCCATAGACACACTCCTAAACCTTGTGGACAGTCTTCCCAGAAGAGTTGAAACTGTTATAGCTGCAAACGGTGGGCCAACTCAATATTGAACCCTATGGACTAAGACTGGGATGCCGTTAAACTTCATGTGCGTGTAAAGGCAGGCGTCCCAATACTTTTGACATATAGTGTATATTACACTTAAATACAGTGCTCCATGAGTGCCCGAAGTACAGCTTTAAAGCAGCCCAGGTACAGATAATTTATTCTGCATGTCTGCTTTAGAATAAGAGATAATATGCAGATTGTCAACACTTCTAGACTAAATAGCTTCTTAGGTTTTATTTATATCCTTATTTTTGGTGCCTGATATCAGCCATTATTGCATAGTGCTGTATAAGTATATACCTTATGGTATAATTTTTTGAAACACTCCCTGATGGTTGTGTAACCAATGTGTTGGTGCTGCAAATGCACTAGACAGATGTCTGTCACTGCATATGCAGCACATTTATACAAGACCAGTCTTGATGTTGCTTTTATGTGATTTTAGGTCTTTGTGTATTATCTCTCATACTGAGGTGATGGTGAACCAGGGTATTTACCCTATTGTCTATAATTTTTTATAATAAAGTATACTTTTTGGGAATTATTCTGTGTATTGCATTCTGTCCATGATCTAACCATTTTTTTGTGAATCTCTTTTTCACACCCCTCTTTTTTGTATGCATGTTTTTTTGGTTACTGGGCAGAAACCATATATTGGGTGATACAATATATTTATGAACCTCTACCCTCTCTTATTATTTGGGGTGTGCCCCCTTGTGGGTTGGTGCACCCCAGGGGCTTATGATACTGGTGCAGATGGGGAGGGTATCACAAATAGTGCTCAACTGGCTTTCTACCAAGTGCACATTCAGCTGCAGGAAGAAGAACCCTTGGGCAGGCTCTTTGGGCTAGTATATGCGAAAATCCGCACTTTTGTTTGAGAAAATAAGAAAATAGCAGCTGAACACCATAACCTGATACCAGGCATTCAAAAAGTGTACAACAAAAAGTGCAGGGCTCTACTTGTCAAAACCTCAACTGACCAAAAACAAAGTAAAGTCTCTTTGAGCTGCAGGCAGTTCAAAACTGCTTTCATTGCTGCATCAAGAGCAGGGTGTTTGCTTGCCTTGTGGGATTGCTTTGACTAGCCTTAGGTTAAGTACTCCCTCAATACATCCGAAGATAGCACACTTGCAAACAACAGTAGCTTAGGTAATCGGAATGATACCTAGTTAGAAACCAACAAGGGTAGGAGGCATCAGCGCACAATCACTTTGTGGGTTTTTTTTTTTTTTTTTTTTAAAGAGCCCACTATATACCTGAGCTGCAGTCTCTGGTGGTATTTGCTGCCTATTCATCCAGCAGCATCTGAACATTGTGGGCATCTTATGCAGGGGTGTTAACCAACACAATAAGGAGGACAGCCAAACTAGTCCTTTTATAGAGTGTTCCTTAAGCACTACTGATAGGCGCAGAAGTCCGCACTACAGCTAACTTTAGGGGGAAGGCAGTAGCTTACTCACTTTCTTATAGAATAGGATTTGTTTGTTCAAAGCGATGTACAGGGAATGAGTTGTGTGGATGTCAACGGTTCATAGCTATGCACTGGTCCTGTGGGCAAAAGTAAGCAGGACTACTACCCCATATATGCTGCCACAGATTGGCTCCAGGAAAGAAAAATTACAGTAAGTATTTAATAAAATTTTCCATTCTATGTCCACAAGACTCCACAACTATAAAGAAACAGCTAGACATTTTACTTAAAAGGTTTCCAAATCAAACAAACTGGTATACTAAAAAGTTTTTACTACAGGCTTAATACTCAAATTTATTGACATTTCAAAAAACGTAATGATCGAAAATAAACAAAAAAATTCTTCCCTCTTAGGACTCGTTTACACTATCACATTTTGGTAATAAACCTTTCACACATTTGTATTTGCAGTGCTGTTCATTTTGAATAGCAACTCAATGCACTTGTGTTTTTTTTTTTTTTTCCTCTTTTTTACAAAAGTCTATTCTTGAAGAGTGTAAAGATTTGCAGACATTTTTTCTCCCAAGGCCATTTTGTGATGTTTTCCAGGTATCTAATGAGAAACCAGTTTTCTTATCAATATCATATCATGAGATGTCCATTTATTAAAAATAAAATTATTTCAACAGTGGGGTCAAGGTTGTTCCAGCATCTGTTCACATGTTCGGCATAGTTCTGATAGCTTTACCCGAGCATAATCGATTCTGTTAAGAGCCATTGTGCCATCTTTGCGTGCACTGTAACTGGAGCCTTCATGCGGCTGCCCCGTGGCTACCTGAGCAAGAAAAAGAAAAAAATTTAAGAAGTTATAACAATTACTGGTCAACATATATGTCATATAATATGAATACAACACACTGCTTTTGCAGACATCCTATATACAGCATTTAAAAAATCATGCTACATAACTGTCTGTGCTACCCAAAGCCATCAACCAGATTAAAATATTTTGTTTCTACCTTTTAGCATTTGTTGACTGACAGTAAACATGGTTCTGCTTCAGCCCACTGATACATTAGTCTATAGGCAGCTACTGCTTCCTATTGTTTCTTATAATTCCCCCTAAATATTGTACCTGTGTAAGATAACGGATCTGTCCTGAAAGCTCAGATTCCACCTTCTGCATGGAAGCCGTGAACTGAGCAGCCTGCCTGTCTAGGAGACGTTCATTTGGCTTTTCTTTGGAAAGTTCCAAAATTACATTTCCTGCAATAAAAAAAAATAAATACACATACATAACTAAATTGTATCTCAGGTTCTCCTTTATCCAGCTCATTATATAGCTATTGGTAGTTATTCACATTTAGCAGGACCTGTTCTGTATTGTTAAAGAAGCAAGTTAAACTGTCTGGAACATAAACCTCAGAAATTAGAGCCACATGCATAGCTCAGTTTGTCCAGAAACATGATGCGAGGTGTGAAAAATTGTGAAATGCTCCTGTTCTGGTTACATAATCTAATCACAATTGTGCAAAAAAAGGGTGAGAGGGAAGTTAATACTTCGACAAGTCACATGGCTGAAATGACATTATATATGGCTAACTAATTGTCCATATCCCGGTTTAGTGCTGGCTCATCGTATGCTCTACTAGTCAGATTCCATTATTCTTGGAATTGATTTCTTCACACAGACATAACTTCTCCTGCTGAGATAGCTGTTAAAGGGAATGATAAATTATATATATATATATATTTTTTTTTTATAGACATATAAAAGTAGATTAGCTAGAATAAAACCTTGTTTCTATGTATAATTCGCATTTATTTATGTACATGGGACAGTCAGATTTGCTCGATCTACTGTACATTTATCTATGTTTTACCAAAGAAAAAGCAACAAACTAAAACATTTGAAAGAATTTTGAAAGGCTGAACTCCTTGTCAACAATACCATTAATTAGGGATGCACCGATAAAATAAATAAAAACCATGGTAACACCAAGTACGAGTACCAATACTTTCTTTTTTTTTTTTTTTAAAGCACTCATCGTTACCTATTACATAGGAGGAGTAGGTGGAGGGGTGGGGCGGTGGAGTTAGGGAGTTGGGTGAGGCTGGAGTGAGGGTGGGGCAAACCCCTAGACAAATATGAGCAGTTAACCCATGCAGTGTGTGGCACAGCCCCACTAAATGGGGAAAAACACTTTTCCATTCTTCAAGATAATGAATGAGCCAGGATTGTCAGGAGGATATGGAAGGATCAAAGTGCAGAGGACATGAAAGTTGTCAGACAGAAAATTTGCACACATCTATGAGACAAGTGTGTGCAGTGGTGGCTAAGGGTCATCTAATGAGGGCCCCCCCCCCCCCCCCCCCCCCATCAAGTGTTATGATCACTTCTGGACACAGGTGACAGGCAAGGACCTCCATCCCTGATGGGTGTAGATCGGTGGACAATGATGTCCCAGCATTAAACTATACGGATTATCTACTCAGGGTTCTGGTAGCAGATCGCACAGGTCAGAGGGCTGGGAGCATGGTCTCTGTCCAAGTCAGTTGTCAGGTAGTGGTGTCTGAAGGAGAAGATGCTTCCAACAGCAACACACACAGGCTCCACTTTCTCTTGTTTATTCTCATACTTGGCTCATCCTCCGGCTTGCAATACAGCCCCGATCTGCTCAGTGTGGCGGGGTGTGTGGCAGCAGGGAGCCGTGCGGGGTCACTTTGTCAGCAAGGTGGCGGGGCCTGCAAGTATCTGGGGATTTTACAGCCTCCCCCCCCATCCTAGCGCCCCGCCTGATGACACCAACTTTATACTGAACTACAAGTGACAATTCATAGGAGATACAGAGAAGTTGACTTATGCAATTATATGAATATGCAGTCTTAAATTACATTTGTACAGCCTAATGCAAGATTTAATTGTCCCCTTTTATTCATCTTTAACTACACCTTCAGCTTAAAAGTCACCAGTTCCCTAAAGTGCCACAGTTGCTGTCAGATGTCACACATTGCTTCTCAACTCTTCAGTTTGCATAGCAGCATGAAATAAATCTCTGTAGTTTAAAAGAAACCTATCATAAGAGAAATGCAGGGATTGCCATTGTTGATCTTTTATAAAATACTACCTACCTGGCTCTGGCATTCACTATTTGGCTTGAAAGCATTTTGAGTATCTGCTGCCAAGCAAATTTTGCATAGCAGGAGTTCTGACATTAGCTGCTGCATGCAGGTTGTGGTTAAACTTTGTCTACGCAGGTTTTATTTAGGATAAAAGTAAACAACGAAAAAAGGCTCTACAATATGATGTGGATATGTACACTCAGGAGCTGGAAGCCATTTTGTTAGGCCAGGTTTGTGGCAGAGAAGCAATTGTCAGGCCTTCGTGTGACCTTTTATCCACCTCCCAAGCTGAAGAGTCAAACTCACACAAAGTAAAGATACATACAACAGAACACATTTATTTCATTATGTAGCCTGCAAAATTATATTAAATTAAGTAAATATTCCAGATTTTAGCATAGGCTCATGCATGACACATTTGCTTTAAAATAAAAGCAACACAAATTCAGTCTGTACCAAACTTATTATAAGCATGTTTCCTTCAACAGATCTAGCTAGTAGCCTGCTGGCATGACACACTGAGATAGGAGATATGGCAAAGAGTAATTTATGTGAGTTACCTTCAAATTTACCTGCGGTACTTAAGAGGCTGATTTACAAAGCAGTGGTATGGCCTTATCATGGCCATACCGCTGCGTTCAAAAATATTTAACGATTGATTTTTTTTTTTTTCCTTTTAAGATTGACCACAACCAATGTAGCAAAACATCTAAGTCGCCTTGAAATCAATTTAAAAATTGCTCTGAAGTAGCACCATGTTGCCAGGAAATCATACAGCACAGTTGCAGTAAAAGTCGTGCTAATGTGAACCAGGGCTAAGGGTCCTTTCACATGGGCGGTCCATTTTTTTCATCAGTTCAGTCGTTTTTTTTTTTTCTTTTTCTTTTTCTAAATGGATCAAGATATCACTTTTTTTACCTCTGTTTTCATATCTGTTTTTTTCATTAGTTTCTCTGCATTTTCTCATCAGTTTTTACATCCTTTACCAATGCAAAAGTGGACTGTATGTCCATTTTTTTTTTTTTTTGGGGGGGGGGGGGGTTTGTAACAGACGAAAAATAGGGTTTTCTTCCATACAAAAATATGGATGTTAAACAGATGTGGACATTAACGGATGTAAACGGATAATCATCTGTTTGCATCCGCTAGTTCACAGAAATACATGGGTGTCCATTTTTCATCCATAAACAAACAGAACGTCCCTGTGAAAGAGCCCTAAATGTGCTTAGTCCTCCACCAGCTTGGGACTGAAGCTGGAAAAATGCTATAAAATAAATGGAGATTGTTTATCCACTCCACAACCTTAGGGTGTACCTGTACATCCTCAGTTTGAAGTGGTTATAATGGGACAGTTAAATTTTTAAAACAAAAACAAGTACATCTAATGATCATAAACTGTTTGAGTGTTTAATTTAAAATGTCAACAGCATCAGTTTCAAATGCTTCTGAGAATATATTAACTGGTGCACTTGACCTTCAGATGACCTCCTTTTGACCTGTTTCAACCAGGTTTTGCATTCCCATAGACTTGTATGAGAGTGCTAAACCTACCCTAATCATCATTGTCCTTTAACTACTTTCCTCCCACGATCTGTAGAATAAAGGATATCGAAAGCCAAGAATAAAAATGTTAGAAATTGTAGCTCAACAGTCCTTACATATGGTGGCTGCATTCGTTTTCTTTTTTCCAAGATAAAATTTCAACAAGTATAGAAAATTGTGCGAGAAATGCAGTGCTCTTGTAAAATCCTGCGAATTGAATGGATATATCAAACAATGATTTCTTCCTTCCAAACTATCTTATGTAAACTAATTCCACCATGGAGATGAAGATGTCTTTGTAGTCCTGTCCTAGGGCGACAACTATGGCTCCCTCCACAGATAAAGTAATGTGAGCAAGTGCAGCCAACCTAGGAGAGAACATGTGTTATCTGCCTGAAAAAAATAAAAACTAATGCAGCCACCATATCTTAGGACTGGTAATCCTCAATATTACATTTTGGTGGGGGGTTTAAAACACACCCCTGCATAATAATCTGTTCCAAGGGTGAGTAAATCTATGTCCTCTTTTCGACCGGGCTGACTTCCCAACAACTTTGTTCCCCATTAAACTTCAAGAACCAATCAGAGTGGTCCATCATCATGTGAGCAATGATATAGTGATCATATGCAGGCTGGAGGCTTTAATAAAAAATAAAACAAATTAGCCTTCAGTCTGCAGACGGTTCTACTGAAGATCTGTGCCTCTGTTTCATACTGTACTTGTCAGATTAAAACAATATAAAAAAAGAAAAATGAATAAAAACAATACACTGTTGTAGGTTTAAATGACCTCTGGTCACAAATAACCCTATCAATAATCCTTATTTGATATGAAAAAAAAAAGCAACTGAGAAAAGTAGGGGAAAAAAAAAAAAAAGAACCATAAAATAACCACAACCCCAGTGTGTACAATTCTTCTTTTGAACACCTCAATAAACGGTTACCTGCGTTCAGCAAGATGGCAGCAATCTCCTTCTCAATTTCCTCCAAGACACGGAGCCTCTCATTAGCCAAGCTATATGTGGCCATGAATACAAGAATCCTTCAGCCGGGCCTCACTATGCACAGGTACAAATAAAGGAATTGATCCTGTATTGAACAGAGGAAAAAAAAAAAGACTTTTCTGTTAATTTTTTTTACCAAATTCTGCTGCAAGACAGCAATACTGCTTTCATACTGTCGCAGTGCGTTTTTCCAGCACGGAGGGTGCATTGCCAAGTATCAACCCTGTTTGGGTATATTACAGCAAGTCATTGTGGAGTAGAGTAAGCCCTATGAACAAATTTCCATTGTAGGAGCCAATCCCTTGCTGATATAGTAGGAACAAAGTGTAATAGGCAGTCCTCCCAGTCAGGGCGGGGAGATCAGTATGCCAACGGTAAAACAATTTCAGCATTTTAGGAGAAGAAAGTGGGTCCAGTATATAGAGATGAGATTTAAAGATGACAATGATTTTGTGGAGGTCCTCACACAGGAGCAGGTTTTCGAGGAGACCATCTGAAGGACGACCCTATAACCTTAACACTTTTGACCTAGATTAAATTGTGTGCTTTATTCAGATATTACTAATATACCGTGTTGTATTATCCCATACCTAATAACCTCTCTCTCTAATTGTAGAGGAACCACATTCGTAGTATTCAACCATTTGTCCCATATTTGTATAAAATTTGCCTGGGTTGCCTCAATATACTTGGTATACCATATGTTCTTTTTGTACGACTATGTTTACTACATTAACCCACAGGAAGTGAGTTGGGGGGGTCTTGGATATCCATCTCTGCGCAAAACATGCATTTGCTATAAACAAGCAAATTGTCGCAGTGCAAACCTGTAATGGAAGCAACTCTCTATTCAGCCACCCCAAAACACATACAGTGGATATAAAAAGTCTACATACCCCTGTTAAAATGTCAGATTTCTGTGATGTAAAAAAATTAGACAAATCATTTCAGAACGTTTTCCACCTTTAATGTGACCAATAAACTGTACAACTCAAATGAAAAACAAACAGAAATCTTTTAGGGTGTTACATAAGTGTGCACACCCTCTAACTGGGGATGTAACTGTGTTCAGAATTAAGCAATCACATTCAGAATCATGTTAAATAGGAATCAGTACACACCTGCCATCATTTAAACTGCCTCTGATTAACCGCAAATAAAGTTCAGCTGTTCTAGTAAGTCTTTCCTGACATTTTCTTAGTCACACCCTTACATTTTCTAAGTCGCATCCTACAGCAAAAGCCATGGTCCGCAGAGAGCTTCCAAAGCATCAGATGGATCTCATTGTTAAAAGTTATCAGTCGGAAGAAGGGTACAAAAGAATTTCCAAGGCATTAGATATACCATGGAACCCAGTGAAGACAGTCATCAAGTGGAGAAAATATGGTGCAACAGTGACATTACCAAGAACTGGACTTCCCTCCAAAATTGATGAAAATACGAGAAGAAAACTGGTCCGGGGAGGCTGCCAAGAGGCCTACAGCAACATTAAATGAGCTGCAGGAATATCTGGCAAGTACTGGTTGTGTGGTATATGTGACAACATTCTCCCGTATTCTTCATATGTCTGGGCTAAGGCAAGGGGCGGACTGACAACTCATGGGGCCCCCGGGCAATTGGGGATCATGGGGCCCCTGTGTCCTTGCCCACACTCAAAAGACACCCAAAAAAGCTTATAAAAAGGTACCAGGGGCATTTTTTGGGGCCCCCTACTGACCCCGGGCCCTCGGGCAGTGCCCTAGTGCTCGAATGGTCAGTCCACCCCTGGCTATGGGTAGAGTGGCAAGATGGAAGCCTTTTCTTATGAAGAAAAACATCCAAGTCCGGCTAAATTTGACAAAAAAAAAACATCTTTAGTGTCCCAAAAGCATGTGGGAAAATGTGTTATGGCCTAAGGAAACCAAGGTTGAACTTTTTGGCCATAATTCCAAAAGATATGTTTAGCGCAAAAACAACACACTGCACATGATCAAAAGAACACCATACCCACAGTGAAGCATGGTGGTGGCAGCATCATACTTTGGCGCTGTTTTTTTTTTTCCACTGGAACTGGGGCCTTAGTCAAGGTAGAGGGAATTATGAACAGTTCCAAATACCAGTCAATATTGGCACAAAACCTTCAGGCTTCTGCTAGAAAGCTGAACATGAAGAGGAACTTCATCTTTCAGCATAACAACCCAAAGCATACATCCAAATCAAGGAATGGCTTCACCAGAAAAAGATTACATTTTTGGAATGGCCCAGCCAGAGCCCAGACCTGAATCCGATCAAAATTCTGTGGGGTGATCTGAAGAGGGCTGTGCACAGGAGATGCCCTCGCAATCTGATAGATTTGGAGTGTTTTTGCAAGGAAGAGTGGGCAAATATTGCCAAGTCAAGATGTGTCATGTTGATAGACTCATACCCAAAAAGACTGAGCGCTGTAATAAAATCAAAAGGTGCTTCAACAAAGTATTAGGTTTAAGGGTGTGCACACTTATGCAACCATATTCTTTAAATGTTTTATTTTTACTTCCCGCCACCAAAAAGTTTGTTGTTCAACTGAGTTGTACAGTTTATAGCTTACTTTAAAAGGTGGAAAAAGTTCTGAAATTAGTTATCTTGGTTTCATTTTTTAACATCACAGAAACCTGACATTTAACAGGGGTGTGTAGACTCTTTATACCCACTGTACCTTGGGATCCATTGGGATACTATTGCTAAATACCTTATTAGTCGTATCCAAAACCAAAATCAATCAAATTTAGGGCATCTCCACATATGTATTAATGTACCCTCTTCATGTTCACATCGTGAACAGAGGAGTATCTCTCCTATGCCAACTAAAAAAAAAATACATATATGTTTGTGGCATTCGATATGAACGATGTATAATAAACAATTGAGTACATTTCTGTGACTCAGACAGGGACATTTGTCCTACATTATCTAGTTAGCAGTGCTACTTACCCGCATGTTTGAAATGGATAAGCTGTTCTTTCCCATAGAGTTACATTGTGTCCTGCGAATCTGGTGCGCTTTTTGAAAGTGCACCAAAATGACTGTATGCTGCATCTTTGGTGCGCTTTGAGAAACCACACCAAACACGTGGGAAACAAAGTAACTATAGGAGATTGCAGCTAACCTGTTCCAAAATGCGGGAAAACTGCACTGTAATAGTGTGAAAGCAGGCTTAATATGATGCCAGACATTCCTATTGTACACTAAATGGGAAGTACCTAATCATTACAAACAAAAGAAAAATTGGAATAACTAATAGCTGGGTGAACATTTTCCATAGCTGCAAATAACTAACAGTCCATGGTTTTTAATATTTGCCCACAAATATTAAATGTTTTTTTTATCTGCATATTAAAAAAAGGACAACAATCACAAACGTATGTATATTTTTTAACTTTGCTTTAACGGCTTCCCGACCATCCGCCATGTACTGCAGCAGTGGCAGCTACAGGCAAAGCGACGTACCCGTACGTCGCTCTGGCTGTACTAACACAGGGGGGCGCTGCTCCCCCCTTGCGACTGCTGGGTCCAGCGGACACAACAGAATGAAGATCCCAGTGAATGGTACCCGGTGATCATTTGATCGCTATGTTATCACATGATCACTATGTAAGCAAAGCTGTTATGAATCTCATTCATAACAGATCTGCTTCTCTTCCTAGTGAGCTATGATTGGTCGACAGCTGTCACATGATACAGGGGGCCAATCACAGCACCCTATACCACGTGACCAGCTCCAGACAATCACAGATCACTATCCTGAGCTGTGAAAACTTAACTCATTCATGACAGGGGTTTTTTTTCAACTACTTGCCAACCGCTTACCTGCATTTTGCGGGCATCCGCCATTGTTTATTAACACAGCTCTGCATCTCATTCTGTCAGAACTGTTCTGGGCTCTCAGAATTAAAAATGGAAAGCCTGAACTTATCTCTACATGGGTATGCAGGAATCCATTTTGTTCTTTATATTCTATTTTCATGGTTTCTGAACAAAGATTCTAACAGCAGACATTCCCAGGTTCTCACTGCATACTTTCCAAGTTTAGAAATTTTTTGGAGGGGGGGGGGGGGGTATGGTTATACCAGACAGCTACAAGACAAAGACTGGACATGATACCTAGTATGATGTCATAATTAGGATAATTAGGCAAGATAAGCTTTGCCTGCCTAGGTTTTTTGGGGTGATAAAAGTCAGAATATGGTCAGAGATAGGAACACAAGAAAACAACGGACACACCCACACACGCTGGGCAAGAGCTGACATCACTGATACCATAAAATATATTGGTAACGTATAACATTTTTCTGCAGTTTGTACTAGCCTTATATCTCCAGCTAAATCGTTTAGTCTGATAACAGTTATGGTTAGCACCAGAGTTGATGTGAAATATTTTTAACTGCAGTATAAATAATTTTCATTTAAATTCTCTGGGGGGGATTCTCTTTTAAATATCCCCGAAGCTAATTTCAGCTTCTAGTCAATGGTTTAGCTGAGTAAATATGAAAATAAGTAGACAACTTAGTGGAACATTTGATCTTGACCTTAGATAGATTCTAAGCTTATTGGATTGCCTGTTTATGGTATTCTAAATCAGTTCATGCCAAGGTACAAATGTTGGGCTTTGAATATCTGGTTGTAGAGAGATCACATGGACAGTTGATTCTAATTCATTAATATCTGAATATAATTGCTGGTTTGAATATCTAACCGTTATCTTTGATTAGATCATTGTACTTTTATTTTGATTTATTTATTTCAGGTACTTATATAGCGTTGTCAATTTACGCAGCGCTTTACATATATATTGTACATTCACATCAGTCCCTAACCCTCAAGGGGCGTACAATCTAAGGTCCCTAACTCACATTCATACATACACATACTAGGGCCAATTTAGACAGGAGCCAATTCACCTACCAGCATGTCTTTGGAGTGTGGGAGGAAACCGGAGTACCCAGAGGAAACCCACGCAGGCACAGGGAGAACATGCAAACTCCGGGCAGGTGGTGCTGTGGTTGGGAT